ACCACAAGATCCTCTGTTTTACACAAAACTCCACAATTAGCATCACTTTCAGCAAGAGACACTTGAACCTCTCAGTTCTCACACTCTTCTTGTTCAATGGGTTCTTGTTGGATAAAGCCAAATCCATCACAGAATTGGATAATCTTCAAAGATACACTGATTCCAAGGATGGCTTCACTCTTCTCGTACCCTCTTCTTGGTTTAAGGTACTTCGAAAATTCCGTGAAATTGGTTTTATTGAAGATTGAATGTTTTCTACTTTTCTTGATTGAATAAGTAAATGGGGGAATCAATGAAGGTAGAGAAAGCAGGAGCCAATGCTTTGTTTGAAGAAGCAGAGAAACGAAGCAACAACATTGGAGTTGTTGTGAGTCCTGTCCGTATAAACAGTCTTGAAGATTTTGGTACTCCTCAATTTGTAGCTGATAAGCTCATCAACGCAGAAAAACGTAAGGTAAAGCAAACAAACAAAAACCAGACTTTCAATGAATATATATTGGGGGAAGCTTTTGTGGATTTGCTTCTTGTTGTTGTTGAATCAGGAAAGCACAATTGAAGCACAAGTTGTATCAGTGGGAGAGAGATCATCAGGACAAGGAAAAGTGTATGAATTCGAATACAAAATTGATAGTACAAGAGGAGGAATCAAGAGGGTTTTCTCAGCTGCGTTTGTGAGTTCTAAGAAGCTTTATCTATTGAACGTTGTTCATTCAGACAAACCAGAGGATCCGTTGGATTCAAGTACTAGGTTAATGTTGGAACAAGTTCTTCATTCATTTGATGCTTTGCCTCTCACCACCACATGACCATCCAATGAATAAACCTGGCCCATTTGGTTTTCATGGCTTCATTCTTGAGTTAATGGACTTTTAATAAACTCAAATGTGTTTGAGATTTTCTTTGTCTACTTATATTTTTGTGTATCCGAAAGGAAAAACAAATAAATCGTTACACTATAAATTAATTGATCATGTGAAAATTGGGTATGTGTGAAAATTGGGTATGTGTGACTAGGGATGTTAAAGATGGTTTTTAAGCTCGGCCCGGCCCTGACAAGTATAAACCCTGCCCTCCATCAGTCCTGCTCCTTTAAGAACTTATAAAATAAAAATTGAAAAGGCTTAAAGTTAATAAGCCCTAGGTCCTGCACCATTAAAATATTATCTTGTTTTTCGGTTGGTTTCATAACTCTTCTGCAAATTAAATACATTATTACGTTAAATATAACCCTAAATATAATCTAATTTTAAAAACATAAGTTCGATACACAAACCAAGTTTAATAAAAGAACCATTCTTCTATGTTTAAAATCGAAATTAAATAATAAACATATGAAAAAGAAAAAATATAAGATAGAGAGTAGAAAAGTTGGAGAGTTTTGCAGAAGAAAAATAAGTCATCAGATCACCAACTTCATTATACGGTTGATTTT